GGAAGCCCAGTCTTATGTATATATTTAAGAGAGGCCTGCTTAGAATATTTTTCCACTGACCTATAGATCCACATCTGTATTGAAATGCCAGCTCACTCAACACCGATGAAGCAAATTAATAGAAGACAAGTGAGCGTCCCAAATAAATGCCAGATGATGTAAGGACATTCCTGAATACAATTAAACACAGCCCTAATAAAGATTCAGGCTCCAACTTTTTTGAGGGTGTGTGTTCATGAAATAGAAATGGGCCCATTAACTTTCTAACAAACATGAGCCCCCCTCACCCCAATCATTCTCTTATAAACCCTCTGGCTTATTTCCTTGTTCCAGGAAGCCCTATTTGAAGAAAGGGACTTTATTCCATTTTATGCAGAGATAATGGGTTTCAGCGTCAAGAAAACAAACCGATCAGTTCTGAAGTCCAATTTGTGGGTTGTAGGTTTTGCTCCTTGGTCCACTGAAGTTCATATTAAAACTCTTATGGGTCTTCAGCTGGGCCAAGCTTCTGCCCTTCAGAGTAACCATCAATCAGTTGCCGTGCTGTTTGGAATCCTTAGTATATGCAGCCCCAAAGACAATGAAGGGATTGTAGTACAATATAGAGTATACAGGAGAATTTTATCGCAATGCATAATCTTGAATGATTTCCTTGGCCCTTGAGATACAAATGTGGATATCTGCAATGTAGCCGCTGTGCTGAGTTGTTGATTGTAAGTATTAGAGCACACCCTGCTGTAACCCTATGCATTTTACACGGCATTTTCCTGTGCAGAGGATTTCCCGCCTGTTGAAGTAGTGGTGGAGAGGAATACAGTTTCTTAAAACAAACAAATAAATAAAAAATTAAGGATTACTTTTGACAGTAATCCACTGTCTCCAAACTAATTTTCTTTCCTTATAAAAGCTAAAGGACAATGAAATAAGTCTAATTAAATATGGCTTATTCATAACATCGGGGAGCTCTAGTCCCACTGCAGTGTTCCAGGGTAAAGGACAAAGATATTAAGTAATATTCTTTATAGGCTCAGAATCACTTTCTCAATGACAGATTTCTTACAGAATTAGGAATCCGCTTCTAGATATTTTGACTAGATCACACTTCTGCGGGAAACATGATGTTTAGGGACATATCTACCTTCACAAATGCCTCTGTGTATCTTTGATTTCCCCACTAGTTAAATGAAAGAACCTGTCATAAAAGTAACCATCAAAATTCCATTGTCTGAAGTCATATACAGCTGTAGGGACATTTCCAATTATGCAGGAAAGGGATCGAGAGAAAGGTGAAAAGAAAGGACAGCGGATATCAAAAGGGATGGGATGGAACTGGCCGCAGATTAACCAACAGGGGGTGAAATCCTAGCTCCACTGAAGTCAATGACAAAACTCTCATTGAATTCAGTGGAGCCAGAATTTCATCTTGGGTCATGATCTTGAAGACTTTCCTTAGGCAAAGCTTGACTAATTTGAGTTCGGGGACAGTTTTGCTTGAATAAGCCTAAATCTGGCTCCCGCTGAAGTAGTGGTAGTTTTATATCAAAATCAGTGGGAGCAGAATTTGATCCTTAGTGAGACAACCTGAGACATAGAAGCTAGTAAGTTAAAAATGTTGCACGTTTATCTTATCTACCAAGTGTGGGAGATAACTATCCTATCACTTAACTCATTCCATGAGCAGGAACATGTATATTTGCTTGGTTTTAGCCCTGTACAATAATACCAATCTTCCATGTCGATTCTGATGCATCAGCTCACATTTTAAATTTATATTCTTCCCCTCCCACTGAGCTCTAGGCCTCTAGAACATATGGAATAATCATGAGTCAGCCTATACATGATATTGTTTTAGGCTAGCATTTTCAAGTGCCTAAATCCCCCTGAAAATCAATGTGGTCTGGCCACTCGACTCCCTTTGAAAATCCCAGCTTTAATGTTAAATATATATTGGTCTGTGAGAACAGAAACTCCTGGTACTATCAACAGTAAAAAGTTCAATAGATGTTGGGAAGTGGAAAGGTAGGAAGACTAAGCAGTTTATAATGCTGAAGTGTAACTAATGAAGGCCTCAGGCCTGATTCTGATACGGTTTCCACTTACACCATTTTAATTCAAGTGTAGCTCCACTGAGTTTTAACGGAGTTACTTCTGATTTACACTAGAGTAAAGAGAGATAAGAACCAGGCCCCAAGCCTCTAATGCCAGTGGCTAAACAACGGATCATCATGTGCTATCATCGTGTACAATGCAGCACTTATTGATAGAGATTGGTACATTAATGGCTCTTGGTAGAAATAAATTGGTCTGTATGATGGTTTTCCACCACCTGTTCTCTGATTGTTAATATCCCTTTGATTATTTCAAAGATTTTGAGTATAAACGTGTCAAATGAAAATTCAAGTTCCTTTGTTGTGAATAACAGAATTATGAGAAGTCACTGAAAATTCTCCATTCCCCCATATTTTATCAGTGTCCCCTTGAAGCTAGAAAAGCACCCAAAACCTGGTAACCAAGCGTAGCAGTTTATAGGGTAAAACCTGCATCAAGAAAAAGCAGGGAATCTGAAATACTCACAAATGGTAAAGCAGGTACACTACACAAGACCTGCACTCCTTTATGTTATGGTTGTGGCATACAAATGGTAAAAAAATGACATTCTGAAATGCAGACTTGGTGGTCCGGCTTGTACATTATTCCAAATTCTCAAATTTCACATATAATGACTGTGTAATTGCTCTGTAAGAGCCTGATCCTACAAAGTTATCTGTTCTCTCTCATGTGAGAGCACGTTTGCAGGATTGGGCCCTTAATCAGTCCCCTCAACGCTTATCATCCATAAAAGTAATTTCAAATGTAGGAAAAAAGTTTTACTTAATTATCTTATTTTCCTGGTTTGAACTGACCAACTTTGTATCTTTCACGGGCTTTATCAAAGAAGCCACCAGCACAAGAGTACATTTCATTTTAAGTGGGCTTTAGTTGGTGGACTTAAAACTGATCATGCATTTTAGTTTCAGTAACTTGCAATTTCTGCACTCTTTGATAATTCACTTTAAAGAGCAAACCTTCTTTAATGACAAGGTTTAAAAGAAACGACATTTCTGAACAAAATATCAAAGCTGAGAAAAGACAGTTCTTTTTTAAAAAAAAGAAAGAAAGAAAGTACGAATTAAAATGACCTTGTGTTCTGAAACTTTTTCATATGATACTTGATGTTCTATCCTCCCTTTCTACCATCAGAATGAGACCTAGTAAAATTAATTAGTGCCTAGTGCCTTCAGTGAATTGTGATTTGCATTAAGATAATTTTAAAAAGTCAGATCCCTGCTACATTCTCTATTAAGACTGCTTATCACTGGGTTTGATGATGGGTGGGGGTTCTATCCCTTTTCTTCCAAGAAATTTCTTCTGACGAGTTGAATTAATGTTGCCGTACGTCTTTCTGAGTAAACAGTTTTTAATTTTTCTACCCACAACAAATTAAATGTATCTTGGCACATCACTCTAGTAAAACACACCATCACCCAAGGCAGGGCTTAGTGCCACTGCTGTATTACTTCTCTGATTATCTGAGAGCTATGAAGAACCTTTATCCAAAAGCAGTGGGATCACTAATTCAGTGTTTCCAAACTTGGGACGCCGCTTGTGAAGGGAAAGCCCTTGGCGGGCCAGGCCGGTTTGTTTACCTGCTGCGTCTGCAGGTTCGGCCGTTCGCCGCTCCAGGCCAATGGGAGCTGCTGGAAGTGGCGCGGGCCGAGGGACGTACTGGATGCGCAGGCCAGGACCAGCCTCCCAATTAACAAAGCACCAAGCAAAGGTGGAGAGGTGATGTGTGGGAAGGGAGGGTGAAATCTGGCAGAAAGTTGCCTCTCCCAATGGTCCTGCTGCCAAGAGGTGGGGGTGGGTATAATCTGGTCTGCCAACAAGTTTCCTCCCTCATTTATCTAGATGCCAGAAGGGAGAGGATACTGGAGCAGCCTGTGAGCTGGGGGCTCAGCATGGATGCCACAGTGCCCCTAGAGGTCAGTTGCATCGCTGTTGCTTAACAACGCAGTCCTTTTCATCATCAAATCTCTTTACAAATAGCAATACACCGGACCCTCGCTAGAACGTGTGTCTATATAGCGCAAATTCACATATAACGCGGTTGCGGCCATGGATCCCAAATTTAATTACTTTAATTGCAATTCATTTTAACGCGGTACCGCGCCTAGATCCCAAATCCCACGTTCTAGCGAGGGTCCAGTGTACATTAATACTCACACCACCATTCTGAGGAAGGTATCTAAAGATTATCATCACCATTTATCACTGACAGGGAGAAGTTCAATAACTTGCCCAAGGCCATTGTCAGTAAATTCTTGTCTCCGTATCCTGTGCACAGACCACTAACTGTGTCATGTTTGCCAGAGGTACACAGAGGAAAAAACAGCTGGTGTCTTATATTCCCCACTTCTCAGTTTGTGGATTAAAACTAGCTAGTAATGGCCATTCTTGAACAATATGAACAACAGAAAAGAAGAACCCAAGCTTAGAAGGTGATGAGTGCCTCCAGGTAGGGGCTGTGTGCTCTCAACTCCCATTGCTTTCAATGCCTCAGAGCCTGTAAGCCCTTAGGCACCTACTAGGGTTTAAGCACATGGGTAGCCCCAGTGACTTCAATGGGACTACTCAGATACTTAAAGTTAAGCACATATGTTTTGGCAGACTAGGGGCCCTTATTTGCCTTTTATCTTTTCAAAATACACCATATAATTCAATGCATTTTCATAATAAAGAACCCTGTCCTGTGGCTGCCTCGTCCATGTAATGCCCACTGATGGCCCTTAAAGGCCATTAATCAGAATAGTGACTGGAGGCAGCACTTGTGTGACGTTTCCGAAGTCAGAACAGGATTTTTCCCCATGAATACATCACGGTATGTAAAACTCTCACAAACACCATGACTATTTCAGCAAATGAAATGATCAGGGACCACAAACAATGTCAAAACAAAAAAGTACAAAAGAATATTTTAATATTATGTAAACATATGAACATGAAAACAATGTAAAATATGTTTTAAAAATCTTGAATAATAATAATAATAATAATAGAAACATGATTTTATCATGTATAAAATTGAATAAAAATGATATTAGGAAATAATAGCAAAATCAATAGTCAAGGGAATTTAGTTTCGCAATAAGTAAATTGAGCACACACACAAACACACTTAGTATACCAAAATTGTAAATCTGTAATAAGATAATGGTAAAAAATAATTCAAGTAAGATACAACTCAAAAAATACTGGCATGAAGGATGGATGTGCTTTCATGAGCTTAATTACTTTTTCTGTGCTAACAAAACAGCCACTGATCTCACAGTTTAATTGACAAGATCCAAATCTTCAAACCTGCTGAAAGTTGTCCATTTGTCACTTGAACGATTTCCTCTGCTCCAGCAGTTACCTAAAAATGAAAATGCTCTCCTTAGTTATATCTTACTATTATTTGTATTAGAAAGTGCTCATAGGCACGAATCAGGATCTAGCCCCTTTATGCTACGTATTACACACACATATATTACTGCACTGAAAAGCTGATCAGGTATTCCCAAACACTGCACAACATTAACGAAGAAGGGTCTGCTAATGAATCAGTGTGAAGATGATCCTTCCCCTCCCCCCCCCCCCGCCACCTTCCCAAATAAGCATGAATTTAGTCCTTGTGAAAGATTCTGGCCTGGTCCTCTGTTAATCACAGAACGGCCTGTAGCAGTACAAGCTTCTCCAAACTAGACTGCTAATGTGGTTGAACCTTAGGTACATCCATTGGACTACAATGGTAAAGTTAATTTTCCTACCCTTCTCCTCTATTAAGAACGGCACTAACGTCATTACACATAAGCCACATTCAAATGTGTTGCTCAACTTTTGGTCAGTATTGACCTGGAGCTAAACCTATGACTGGATCTATATACCATTACCAATCTCTTAGCCAGCTAGTACTCTGGGTGAAGACACTGACTGACTGGCTCAGTGGAAACTTTTGGGCCAAAAGCATTGCTGTGTAATTCCATTGCTCTCAATGGAGATATGTTGGGGATAAATCAATACATTGAATCAATATGTTTATCTGACAATGTCTCCTATAATACAAAATCTCAGGGAGAAAATATGAACACACACAGACACACACACACACACCCCTGTACATATTTTATCATCACTCTCAGCTACAAATATACAAAATGTTAAAAAGTCCTTTTAAGATTCATATTTTCAGACTAGTTTTTATATCTTACATGGTTTTCATTAAAATATCTGCTGTTTATATGTGCACATCCTGTTCTTTGCAGAAATCCTGATGTGAGATATACAATTATCAATGAACCCTATAAGGACAAAAAACCTCAATGACCTTGCTTGGAAGTTTCCTTTTTCCCAATCATCCATGTGAATCATTTACTCTCAGGGCACAGAGAATCTTTTTATTGTTGTTGCAACACTTGTAGTCATTTATTTTGGATGGTGTACAGCTCTGAAACAAATCTAAAGCTCATGAAGATCCTGTACTTTGAATCTGTGAGCTGTAATATTCAGAATTGCATCATCGTTTTCGATCTTTAAAAGAAGGCAGCATCACCGCAGGCCTGCAGCTGTGCACTGTGCCCCTGTCTCATGAACATGGAGGCAAAGCCCAGACTTGCATTGCACCTGCAAGTTCTCTAATCTTGCTCTAATAGTACTGACTAAGCAGTGTGGTTAGAAGAGCTGGGTAACGTCTCGAAGACAGCTTGTTTACTGAAAATAAGGTTCTTTTTAAACTGCAACCATATGTAAGCATTTTAATTAAGCTGTAAAACTTCAATAGCTGAGACCCACAGGTGTGAAATGGTACAAATTGATGAGAAGATACTCATTTACCTTCTGGTGTGGTACACATTCAGTTCTTCTTGTAGGACAGATGCTCTCTTCTGCAGAAAGTTTACCTACAAAATACATCCCATATGAAAGTGGTGTATAAAATCTTAATGAATCAATTGGTACTTATTTCACGGAGACTGACTTTACTGTCTAAAGCCCAGTTTACACTAGAGAAACCTCAATTGCACCTTAGTCGTGAGCTGGATTTAAGCATGATGTTTGACTGAAAGTTGCTAGTGTGGTTTCCCTGGCCTGTGTACCCACAGCATTAATCCTGCACCCTACCCACTCAGTCAGGAGCCAAGGCAGCTACGAAAACTTTTTGGACTCAGAGCTATACTGAGAAGCTGAGTTCTAATCCCAGCTCTGACGCTAAGTCAGTTCACTTCTCTACCTCAGTTTCCTCATCTGAAATATGGTGAAAACAGTATTCCACTTTCTCACAGGGTGTGTGAGAGAATTAATGCTTATATTATGTAGCACTACCATGTTAGAATAGCTTACAAAGAGCTCATGGGGGTGTGCAGTGAACAATTGTGGCAATGCATTTTAAACTTTACTAAAGTTTTAGAAAACTTTGCTGAGCAGTGAATATTTGTTCATTTTTAACAGTTCTTGGTCCGTCACCCCCCAGGAACAATTAATAATCCTGACAGGTGCAAGGATTCCACTGCCGTTCTCCTCTGATGTTTTCAAACTGGAATTTCAACAATTTTCAAAGACGAGGACACCTGTGCTTCAGAAGAGAACCCTGCTTACTGAATGGTTTGTGACTACCATATATTGCTGCAAACAAAGCCGGCAGCTACGTGTTTCTGCGTTAACACCCAGTTTTAGGAGTCTGGAGTTACTTTTAGTCCTTTGAAATCCTGCTGATCCAAAAGAAGCCCTGCAGGGGTATATCAGTTTCAATTTTAAAAAACAAAACTCACTGTAAGGTGAATTATTCTTATATCTGTCCCAATGGAATGCTTCCTACCAGACAAAGTTAACAGTAAACCATACTTTTAAATGGCCTTTTACTATCAACTGGAAATAGATCATCCTGGTAGATCCTTAACCCTTTATTGGTCTGCAGTGACTTTAATCAGAATAAATATCACTACCACTGGACATTCCTATACATGTAATAAATAAATATCTGCCATCATAACTATTAACTTGTGTCACCTTTAGCATGTGGGAATATAAAGCTCTCTCTTTTGGAAATTTCGTATTTCTGTTAAAGACAGACATTGCTAAGGGAAATTTCCATGCATAGCAAAAAATGTTACAAACTAACCTTTATGCATTATAAACAGAGAATGTAAGTAAATTAAACTAACAACCATTTCCAGGGAGAGAGATGGACATGGAGAGTGTGTATATCTATATCAGCTTGTAAGTGTTTCTTGGAAATTGATGTGGGTCTATTTAATATCTTATGTACCAAAAAATATGAATCAGTTTCATGATTTTAAGTAACGACCTCATTTCAAACAATATTTTACCAAATAAATCCGAGCCAAAAAAACATTGACTTCTGCACGAAAAAACTAACGCTCTTAACATCTCAGATACCAGTTTAACCTTTCATTCCCCTCTCTCCCCCCAAAACCTTTGGCATTTCATGAACATATGGCATGTCTTGGCATTTCAAATGATTCTACGTGGATCATGAATGGCTCCTGAAGGATTCTGTTCCCCAGAGTGGAGTTTGTACATCACATCACCACAATACATAGCATACATTTATAATATCAAAGAAATGTAAGGCGGAAAGGATCTAGAAGTCATCTCGTCCACCCCTCACGCTTAAGACAGGATCTAATATACCTATCATGATTTAGTTGGTCCTGCTTTGAGCAGGGGGTTGGACTAGATGACCTCCTGAGGTCCCTTCCAACCCTGATATTCTATGATTCTATGACCATCCCAGACAGTTGTTTGTCTAACCTACTCTTAAAAACCTCCAAGATTTGGGATCCACAATCTCCCTTTGTACCTTATTCCAGTACTTAGGATCTTTTTCTTAATATCCAACCTAAATCTCCCTTGCTGCAGATTAAGCCCACTACTTCTTGTCCTACCTTCAGTGGACATGGAGAACAATTGATCACAGTCTTCTTTATAACAACCCTTAACATATTTGAAGACTTATCTGGTCCCCCCCTCAGTCTTCTTTTCTCAAGACTAAATGTGCCCAGTTTTTTAAATCTCTCCTCAAAGGTCAGGTTTTCTAAACCTTTAATTATTTTTGTTGCTCTCCTCTGGACTCTCTCCAGTTTGTCCACCTGTTTCGTAAAGTACGGCACCCAGTATTGGATACTATTCCAGCTGAGGCCTCACCAGTGCCTAGTAGAGTGGAACAATTACCTCCCATGTCTTACATACAACATTCCTATGAATACAGCCCAGAATATTAGCCTTATTTGCAACTGCATTACATCAGTGACTCATATTCAATTTGTCATTCACTATAGCCCCCAAGTCCTTTTCAGCAGTACTATTTTCTACCCAGCTATTGTGCATTTTCCTTCCTAAATGCAGTATTTTGCACTTGTCTTTATTGAATGTCATCTTGTTTAATTTGTTAAGTTAATTTTGAAATCTAATCCTGTTCTCCAAAGTGCTAGCAACCTCTCCCATCTTGGTGTCATCCACAAATTTCATATGTATACTCTCCACTCCATTAACCAAGTCATTAATGAAAATATTTAATTCTACCGGACCCAGGATTGACCCCTGCGGGACTGCACTAGATACACCTTCCCCTTTAGACAGCGAACCATGGTTAATTACTCTGATTATGGTCTTTCAACCAGTTCTGGAACACTCCGTATAGTCATTTCATCTAGATCACATTTCTCTTATTTGCTTATGAAAATGTCACGTGGGGCTGTGTCAAAAGCCTTACTAAAATCAAGATATATCACATCTACTGCTTCCAAACTATCCACTAGGCCAGTAGCCCTACCAAAGGGGTACGTTTTTTTTTAAACATAATCAGTCACTGATTTAAGAAAGTGACATTTAACAATTTGTCTTCATCTTTACTATTCTTACTTCTAGTGCTGCCATTCAATTAATGTACAGTTTCATAGATTTTAAGACAAGAAGGAACCATCTCGTTTTATCTAACACAACATAGATCATAGGATTCCCTGAGTGAATTCCTGCTTAAAATCCAAACTAAAATGTTGTGTGTACCAAATCAAATGTCTTCGTCAATATATTATATCAACACTATTACCTTTATCAACCAAACTTGGAATTAATACAATGGGCTTTTGAGGCAGTACCTGAAAAACCAAAGGGCTGCTTTATTATGCAGGCTGCAAAGGAAACAAAGATTCCACCAGTGCATGTTGAACACAGCTTCTTCTGAAAAAACACTGATAATAGACAGTTGCTAAGCAGTCTAACCAGTTGCTGTCTTCAGCAGCATATTCTTGAGAAAAAAAGGTAACAGTTGCAACATCACTGCTGACTTTATTTTCTACTTTCAGCAGGCATTTGAGGTAAATCGCTTGGCTCAAGAGAGATGACTCTTTACCTAGCGAGATGAGGGAGCTGGGGAGAGGGGGATCCTAGAAGAAAGGTGATGGTGTGATAAGCACTGGACTCTTGCCAGTTTATCACTGACCTCAATCCAATATTGCCAAATTTAATGCATTCATAGTTTCCTTTATAAAAGAGATGAGTGTTATTTAAACCCTAGAATTGGAGACAATTGAGTGCTGATATCTTACCTGAGATTTTAAAGATGCAATGGTATCTTCGAGTTCCTTTCTCAAAGATGCTGGCATCAGACCTTTGAGTTTGGTTTCATATTCTTGTCGTATGTATGTCACCTGAAATTGAATAAAGAGATTTAAATGACTCATAACCAATTTGGGGGGCAGGAGAGAATCTTCACAGTCAGCTTCTTCTTAGAGCAGTGTTTCCCAATTTGGAGGCCAGAACAAGACTAATTTGGAGGTTGGGGGCAAGGGAGGATCAGTATGGATGAAGAAAGCTGTAAGAATGCAGATCCACCCACCACCATCGCACACAGACACTGCAAGCATGCTCCCACCTTTGCAGGTAAAGCGGTAGGCAGCTCCTTAATGTCACCCACCTTCCCTCTCTGCTCCTGCTGTGCCCTTTATGCAACCAGCTGTAGTTCTCATTACTCATCTCAGCTTTGTATGGCACTAGTTACCATCCCCAGGGCCATGCAGAATTCTGGTGAGTGGGAGAATAGGAAGCAGGTTCTGCTGTACTGGCGGATGGGTGGGTGGGGAGCAAGGAGAGGAAAACGTGTTCTCCAAAACATGTAAAAGAGCAAAAGAGGATGAAGAAGAAAACAAGAAGACAGAAAAGAAAAGAAGAAGGAAAATGAGGGAAGCTAGAAAAAGAGTGAGGAGAAAATGGGCAGGAAAAGGAGACACGGTAGGGGCTCTGTTAAGACATGGTGTGAGAGGAGAAAGGAAGGGCCATGCGGCTATCTCCCTCTAATCCGTCCATGGGAAGCTTTAATGAAAGCAAGGCTGGGGACTGGGCAGAGGGCCTGATGCAGTAGCCACTGAAGTCAATGGGAGCCTTCCTGTTGACTTCAATGGGCGTTAGCTCAGGCCCACAGGCATTGCTTGTGTCTCACTCCTAATATACGAGACAAAATAACTCTGTATCCAGAATTTTTTTCAAAACGCTTTGAAGTTAAGAAGTTTTGTAAGGAGGAACATTTTGTGTCCATGGATGTAACTAAATTTTATTTACAGCTTGGCATTTCTTGGACTTCATTCAAGGACTATTATTGCCCTCCAGCTAAATGATGCAGTCAGAATAGTTTAATGGCTTGTCAATCCCCATCTAGATATTTTGAGCATCTTGTCTTACTTATTATTACACGGAAAATTTGCAAGACATTCCTTGCCCTCTTCACAGCTCATTTTTCAGTCAAATTCACTGCAGCAGAGTAAAAATTGTTGATCTACTATTTTTCTAACTAAACTCTAAAAGTATTAACTTGAGTAGGACCAAAACCTGTCTCTTGAAATGATTATTCTCTTTTAAAATAATTTCTAAGCACATTATCTGACACTACAGCAATCTCCATATGCTTTTGCTTTCTGCTTGACCTTTCCCTTTTGGCTGCAATGAATTCAAGACCCTGTTGGAGATTCAAATGCTCAAAGAGATTTCTAAAATGTTTGGACTTGGAATGACTCTGTGAGCACCTTCAAAAGACCAATGTGTGATCTCCTTATACATGGTTATGGGTATATATCAAGGAAATATTACCACCCTAGCAGCTCATCCCTGTATATGCTTAAAAATATCACTAGAAAGTTATGTCTCCATTCTAACTATATAGCGAATCATGAATTGATTGATTTTTGTCTACCTAAATGATCACCAGTCACTGAGGGATGGATTCAATACCCATTGGAGTCAATGGAAGGACTCCTTATTGGCTTCGGTGGGCATTATATCAGGCCCTTTAAATATGAAAAGGGTGTGTAACTCCCAAAAAGAAATAGCTGCAAGAGTGAAAAAAAATATTTTTAAACTTTCAAAAAGAAGGTGTGATAAATAAAGGCTGAAGTAAAGGAGTTCTGTACTATTTCGTTTGGGGTTTCTGACATAGATATGCATTGCTACCATGGCATCTTTGGAACCTACCAGCAGTGCCCATATCTGTATGTCATATGCACTTCAGGACTAATTTATACACGTTAAGGAAAGAGTATAACCAGCTGCAGTCATCATTTTCTAATTATTTTTATACTTAATTTCCCCCTCCTTTTAATTAGTATTTTAAACAATCCCCCACCTAAAACTGACTGGGAAAGGGCATTTCTAGAGGCTTGGTTGTAAGCAAAGCATGCAGGAGATCCATGAGACTCATGTCTCTCATTGCCTAGGCTATGCTGCGCTGGTGCATTGTTTATATAATACTCTTGAGTCTCAGGGGAGTTTGGGTGATTATTGTTTTATCAAACAGTTCTGGAGCATTCGTACTTAAAGGCCATGCAACTGGATGGAGGTTTAAAGCAAGATGTCTTTGCAGATGTCTACAGTAAGGAGAAAAGTTTCAGGTGAATATAAATAATCACAGAACCATAGAACTGGAAGGGACCTCGAGAGGTCATCCAGCCCAGTCCCCTGCATTCGTGGCAGGACTAAATATTATCTAGCTCGTCCCTGCCAGATGTTTGTCCAACCTACTCTTAAAAATCTCCAATGACGGAGATTCCACAACCTCCCTAGGCAATTTATTCCAGTGCTTAACCACCCTGACAGTTAGCAACTTTTTCCTAATGTCTAACCTGAACTGCCCTTGCTGCAATTTAAGCCCATTGCTTCTTGTCCTATCCTCAGAGATTAAGAAAAACAATTTTTCTTCTCTTCCTTGTAACAACCTTTTACGTACTTTAAAACTGTTATCATGTCCCTTCTCAGTCTTCTCTTTTCAAGACTAAACAAACCCATTTTTTTCAATCTTCCCTCAGAGGTCACGTTTTCTAGACCTTTAATCATTTTTGTCGCTCTTCTCTGGACTCTCTCCAATTTGTCCACATCCTTCCTGAAATGTGGCACCCAGAATTGGACACAATACTCCAGTTGAGGGCTAATCAGTGCAGAGTAGAGTGGAAGAATTACTTCTCGTGTCTTGCTTACAACACTCCCGCTAATATATCCCAGAAGGACGTTCACTTTTTTTGCAACACCATTTCACTGTTGACTCAGAGAATCTTGTTTGAAGTGTGTGTGTGTGTGTGTGTGTGTGTGTGTGTGTGTGAGAGAGATTTGTATTCTTTTAAAAATAAAATAACTTAGATACACTTATGCTATTATTTGTGTGAGTCTTTAAACATTATGAGGTATGTACTTTGCCAGGATAAATATTCTTTGAGCCAAGAGCTCATTTAGGGTGGAGTTCTGGATGCAGCAGAACATGCATATTTGTGTTCATTTAACATGTGTTATACATGTTCTTGGTGAGAGAGGAGAAGAAACAGACAGCTAGAACTGCTAAAAAATTTTTTTGTGTGTGGAAGTTAAGAAAAAATAAAAGCTATATTTCACCAATCAGGCAGATTGTGCTGGAGAGCTTTTCTGAGCTCATATCTAAAGATAATACAATAACGGTGAAATTCACATTCACATTACAAGCATGCACAAAGCTTGTAAAATTGGGGCTGCAAGGTCCAGGGAAAAGAATCCCATTGCCCCCACTCTGCAAACAAGCAGTGGGATGCCTGTCGAGTCTTTCTGTTACCATCATTTCAGCCTATGAGAATAGTGGCTGCAGAACCTCTATGTCTTTCATGTGAAAATTCCTGGTCACTAGATCCATGCAAGTGTGGCTAACCAGTTCTATTGCAAATAGCCCTTTGCCACACTTGCATATTCCGAGATACCCTTCCATTGTGTGCAGGCCCCATTGCAGTGTCCCGTTCCCATCTGCATTGCCACACCATAGATATATTGTGTTGTGACTGGTCTTGCTCTAGCCCACCATGGGGTAAATTTCACCGTACTGATTGCTGGCAGCACTTAGGGCTAAAACCAGCATCACCTCTGCAGCCAAACCAGCCATTCAGTCAATGGGAGTTTTAGATGTGTAAAGAAGGGTGGATCAGGCCCCTTAATATGTATTCTTCCTGTGCAATTTTTGGAAGTCAAGTAAGTTTTATTCCAAATATGTGTAATGAAAACTTCAGGTAAGATATGGCTTTGTGAGTGCACTAATTATGGTCAAATTCTGCGACAGGCCTCTTCCAACCTGGTTATTTTTTACCAGTATAATTTTCAAGTGCAACCTAACTGCATGTTTTCACAAAACTCTTGTACACTTTTCACACTGTAATCCAGCAAATGCTGAAGAGAGCTGTTCCCTTTTGAGGAAGATAATTCTTGGAAAGTCACAAAGAAATAAGTACCATGCTTTGGAATCCAGATACACATTACTAAGTTGGCTGGAAGGAAATTCTTGAGTACTATTTAAAAAAAAGAGAGAGAGAGACAAAGCAAGAAACAATCCCTGGTAGCTGAACGATTGCTTGGGGCTGATTCTTAGAATGATTTCTTTCTGAACTTCAGTGAGAAGGTGCAGGCACCATTTTGCAGTGAAAACTGATCTGCAAAATACTAGACCCTAATATCATGGTGAAGAGGATCACCCTATAAATTCATCGCTAAGATAGTTTGTTGAAAGTATATTACTTTCAACTATATTCATTAATAATTGCACAATGGGATGAAAATAAGATCCCAGATGTTTCCTATCACACTGTGCTAAACAACATGCTAATAGTTGTTGGCTGAAGTTACTAACAAGATTTACTGACCCAAGAGATTTAAATAGATCATAGTGAAAGTCTAAATTACTTCTTCATAACTAGCACACAACATATAGCTGGGTATGGTATACTAATTTTGATGGGGAGGGGTTCTATATTTTTAACATTTATTTTAGACCAAGGAAAACTATAACTGAAGAGTGTTTTTGTTTGGTTTGGATTTTTGTCCCTAAAGACTTGTTTGTTCTTTTATTGACTTGAGTCGCCTACCTAGGACCCACCAAAGCTCTATATCCTTAAGAGATGTTTTAAATTGCAATTCTTCATCCCTCAGGAGGGCTTTAGTCTGTTGGATGGGCTAGCTCTGTTTTATTTGGTGTTGTGTTAGGTTTTCTTCAGCCAGGAGAAAGCCTTTTTTCTTGTTCATTTTGATGAGCTGATTTACTCCAGCAACCCCCAGGAAAGGTTTTATAGGTTTTAATACAAGTTGTCACACTAATTTTTTGTTTACTCAAGTATGTGGATGGCATATGTGGTTTGAAATTCTACATTAATCATCTTTG